TACAATCTAATTTTGTTGTTAAACAAAATATGGAGAAAGGAGAGGAGCAAGTGTCAGGGAGTAAATGGTTCCATGCTAAGACCTGAGGAGGAAAAACACGGGAATGGGAATGTTTTCAGTTGTCTGGAAGACCAGCTCTGCACAGGGAGAGATCCAGATTATAATTAATGTTTACCGAGGCAGAGTTTTCAGTGAGGGCCACAAATTCTTGTTCATGGCTGTGTGCGCACTTTAATTGATTGAAGTTGAGCAAACGGCCTCTCTGTGTTTGTTTATGTGAGGCAGGATGATGCTTTCAGACGACGCTGCGTGAAGGACGAGCATAGCCTCTCAGCAGTGCTTTGAATCTAGCATCAGCAGCTCTATAGCAAATTAACCAGTTTCTTCTGATTGCCTGATGCAGAGTGTCTCCGCTGCAGTGCGCTAACTCTGCTGATTTTTGCACAACAAGAGTGTTGAAGCGGTGACAGTGGAGCATCAGAGGTTTTTTTAATGCTTTGCTTTTGCAGCCTATCGATGCACCGCAGTGCTAAAGCCCACGCGCTACATTTGTCTCACCATATACAGCGAGGTCCAGCCTACATCTTCTGGACCGGCAGTCAGAATGATTTCATTAAACATTAGTTACACAATAATATGTCATTAAATGATTGCATGATACTTACAGTGTTGGTTGGTTGATCCACACTGTTTCCCTTAAATTTGCTACAGATATTAACGATCTAATCATTTTTCTAATAATCTTCTCTCTGATTTGATATTTCAGGCTTTTGGCAGGCACTTCAACATTAGATCGATTAACATAAAGAATATTTATGGTGTCGGGTGGATTACAGTGATTTCGGGTGATTGTTTATGAAAGCTGTCAAAAACATTTCAGTCCCATCAGTCTCAGTTTTTCTTTATTTTAGTGCTACTTAAAAATATTCATCATACCAGCTCAATGTCAGCATGTAGGTGTGGTGACATTAGCCTTTAGCTGCCACTTCACCACAGCTCCTCCGTTTGTGGAAAGTGGCTCTCTCAGCGGTTCACTGGACTCCTAAAGTTTAGAAATGGCTTTGTAACATTTTCTATACTGACTGTGTTTCTTATTTGTTGTTGAGCTTATTTAAATCATAGCCCGACGTGTTGCTTTCAGAGCTCTTTTAGCCTGCTTCATATTGTCAGGTTCTAGTTAAGTGCTTTCTTGGGGGAATAGGCCAGGCTTTGGCTGGTGAAATTGAGCTCAGCTGTCCAAAAAACGTGGTTAATCGCTGATAATTGATGTGGGAGCACTTTTTCAAGTGGGACTAGATGGGTTTGGATAGCTTCCCCTCCCTAATAAATTAAACCATCATTTAAAAACATTATTATATATTTACCTGGGTTATCTTTGTCTAATGTTACATTTTTTAATGATCTGAAACATCATCAGTATGTGCCTGTCTTCCTTTCCGACAGAAGACCTCTGTACAGGACAAACTCACAGTCGCTGCCAGAGGTTACCTGCTGTTGCATCATCTGCTGTTAGTAACTAATGTGCAGCAGTGTGTCCCTGCAGACCCCCCCTCTGCTGTTAGCACCTGTTTCCTAGATGTTCTCAACATGTGCCGTGATGATGATGTTGTTTATTGCAACTTCTGCTGTCCTTAGTCAGAAATCAACCAAAGCAGGGATTTCTGCAGCTTGAAAAATGTAATTAGTTACATTTTGGAGTTTTCTGTTACATTTTTTTTTACATTATCTACAAACTGATAATTTTTCAAAGTGAGTTTTAAGAATTTTGTTAATAAGTAATTGTGTAGATTATACTTCTTATTGCATTCTTATCGTACTCATTGGCACACAAGACCATCAAAGCTGTCGCCCTCTGCTAGCATAGCACAGCAGGTTCAGGTCTCTCTGAATTTCACCTCTGCTCTCTACATAACTGTACACACAGCGGTCACAGCTGCCGGTCCCGTGGCTCCTGCTATGCGTCAGGTTGTTGGTTTTGTGTGATTGGAGCCCTGAGATCCCTGGCAGGTTGAAATCCCATAAACGAGTACGAGGGTTTCGAATGTATCTAGCGGCTATTTTGAGGAGGGTGAGACAGAAGAGGTGACGGCAACGAACAGAAGCCTGGGATGTCACGGAGGTCTCTACGGACTGGGTGTAGCTGTCACTCGCACATGAAAGAGACGGATCTGCTTTGGCTGGAGTTGGGCAGTAATGTATTTTTCAGAAGGACAGGTGCTGACCTGCCAGTTGCACTTTCAAACCGCGATGTTGTTGCCACTTGTTGTTAATCACTTCCATGTGCCAGGCTGTATTCAGCAATGACATTGAAATAGAATATGCTAAATTAATCCTCTTGTGTACTGCCGTAATGACCTGACACTATATTAAACTACCTAATGTTGTGCAGCTCACTTTGTCAGGCCTGCTGTCACTCCCTCTGTGGATCATTGCGCTGCAGTAGATTGGTTTCTCTCTCTGCACCAAACCAAACACCTTCCTGCAGGACTATGACCCAAACAACACAGCGCTCTATTAAACAACGTGATATTAGGGTTGCATTAAAACTGTACGGCAGAACATTTACAACCAAGGTGAGATGAAAAGCAGAGCAACTGAACTTCTGCTTCTAATAACACCTAAAAGGGCCACAGGCTCCTGATCCATGCTCATCATGTTGTCTCTTAATGTTAATACAGTTTATTCATTTCACCCAAATCACTGCTGTAATCTAATCGTTGCGAGTCATTTTAACCAGGTAGATGGATAGAAGTCAGAAGTGGTGCTGTGCAGCTAATGCTCTGTGAACAATAGAAGCTGGCTCTTCCCTGGATAGTGACTTATCCCTCTAAGTCTCTCATTGCGACTCCTGACAGCTGCACCTAATGAATGGCTTTCCTCCACACACACACAGACACACACAGCCCTCCGATGCCCCTCCAGCCTTTGGCTCGCCTGCTAAACAACGCTTCAGTTTTTTACTTGCGCCTACAAGTGCAACATGCTGCTTAAAAAACTGCAATAGTGAGAAAACAGCAGGGCTCTACATTTTCAGAGCCCCAAGTGGGAATTGCACTTATTTGTTTCCAGGGATGAAGAAGACTGACAAATGAACCCTCGCAGGAGGGAAGCTGGCATATTCTCTTTTTCTCTTCTTCCTGCCTCACACGGCCCTAGAGTGTTCATTATGACCAGAATAGACACCTTCTTTTTAGCGTGTTAGCACATTCTCAAAACAAGCCTTGGACCGCAGGGACCCAGAGGTGCAACAGGAGCCTTGAGAATTGGGAATTTCTTCTCTCCCTGTCTGCTGTGGTGAAGCTGTTTGCCAGCAGCAGTCTCTCTTGACTGGTAATAGCATCAGTAAGTGGAGAAGATTGACATAGATTAGGGTGATGGATATAAGGGCTGCTGGGTTTTCTTCATTGATGCACAGGAGCGTAGATGTGTTTACGTGGAAGCGGCACACAGGAGTGGTTGGCTAGCTTTAAAGAGACCCTCTTTCTGGACTGCGTTAAAGAGACAGACCATTCAACACAAACACATGGCAGGCTTGCAAAGTGTCCTTTTGTCTCCGGACAGGCTGGCAGATGTCCCGGGAAGCTCTTCCGTGTAGAGCGGGAGTCAATAGCCGTTATTTTGATCTCGCACCAGAATTGACCTTATCTGTAATATTACGTGCACCTGGGGCTGCTAATACCTCGCTTAGCATTTCAATGCTGAACGTTAGAGCTCTGTTAGCTCAGCCTGCTCCCATTGGAGTGTCTCAGGGGGGAAGTGTCAGGGAGATGGAAGCCACCAGTGACAGGCGGCTGCTCTGCAGTGCGGGTTGCTGCCTCAGCCCAGGGGAACTGGTTCCCATCTACACCTCTTTGGCAGGTAAAGGATTTAGCTGCTTCACCAAGGGGGAGGAGGAGCCCTTGCCCCAGCTCTAAACCCCCCTGAGGCCCAGAGAGAGCTAATTACAGTTTACGTATGCACTGTCATCTCCCATGAGCCTCTCTGCCTCTGGAGGAGTCAAGCTGGTGGCTGATGTCTGAGCACTTTGTTCTGTAGGAGGAGGTCCCTGCAGAGAAATACCCCGGACAGAGCTTATTATCCTTTTTTTTAAAGTTCAGCATTGCACAGCGCTTATTCATTCTTTAGATGCAGTCACATTTCGGGCTAATGGAGTCCAAACAGGCCGTTTAAATGACACGTAATTGCTGTTGCTTAGCAATTACGTGTCAGATGGCTATCACACTACATGCAAAGCTGAATTCATCCCCTGAAATGTTTTTACCCCACACAGTGCTCTTTTTATGCATATCATCAGTTGAGCTAGTTTGCATGTGGTAAAGAACATGCATCGGTGTTTCCAGAGAAGATTAGCACAACTGCACGTACTATTTGAATAAGCTAATTTTTCAACTGTAGAAGCGATGAAAAGGTGAAAGGCAGCAGAAACCTGATAAACGGCAAAAACTATGCACACACATCTGCACGCTGTTACTATTATTCAGCTGCTGTTTGCTTCTGGTATGGAACAGATCTCAGTTTGTGCAAGGTGCATGGAAAAGTGCCTCATTAAAAATATAATGTGGCAAAGCACAGAAAACAAGAATGCTCTTAAAATGAAGGTCTTGAGTACAATGCACTACTGGTTCATTCTGAACACTTTTTGGTTCGTGTCGTTCCCCCGGGGACGGTGTTAAAGGCTGCAGTGGTGTTAGAGCCTAAGGAAGGTGTGTCAGTATGAGGAGGAAGAAGGAAAAACTGTGTGTTTGTGGAGCTGTCAGCTGATAAGCTCACACACCAAACATGACAGAGGAGATGTCACTAACAAGGGCAGGAGCTGACAACATGCCGAGCGCTCACACTCACAGCTCACTCACTGTAGCGTCTGCAGTAGGTGGCTGTGGCTCTGCAGGTACAGCACGTCGTGTGTTGTTTGGTTCCTCGGGTCCACGATACATTCATTGTGGCGCGTCACAGTTAATCCGGTGTTTTATCTGTTTTTAACACTTTTTTGTTTTGTGCAGTTCCAGATTTCGGCATCGATGTGCTCTCCACCAATGGCAGCCAGGAGCCTCACGGCCCAGGCCTCCTCAAGGTGTCAGGCCTAGAACGCAGTCAAGAGAGGAGCCAGGAGAGTTGCAGAGACACCCAGCTGCCTGTACCCAGCACCCCCAATCCACCTTTGTCCCCCCCAACCCTCCCCGTGTCACAGCCCCAACCCCAGCCATCCATCCCCCAGACCCCGTCCGCTCTTCGAACCCAGCCAAACGGGCCCACTCAGCCTTTAAACCACCTGCCCCCACGCTCAGAGGCTCTTCCCAGGCCTCAGTCACCCGCAGCCCTGCCTCTTGCCCAGGGCCAAGAGCCCTCACCAACCCCCCCTCCCCGGCACCAGCACCAGCCTGAAGTGCTATCCCACCCGAGGCCTCCACCTACACCCAGCCTTCACCCACACCCACCATCTCCCGCCCTTCCGAACCACCACTCTCACCAACAGCACCCCATCCAGTCAGGGTCTCACCGGCCCCCATCGCGCTGCCACCCCCGACCCCTTTCTGCCTACAACAGCCTCAGCCTCAACGGCCACAGGTAAGCTAATGTCAGACAGGAAAAAAACCTCCACACACCCACAGCTCTCATGTTCTCACATGCTCTAATGCAGAAAATTCATGCAGAGCTGTTCAG